ATTCTTTCAAGATGGATTTTCAATCATCTAATCGCATTAAGTTTATTTTGTTTTTATCGATTTCATTTTGTATGTATTTTAAATCATTTTTTGGTATTCAGATCTCCACTTTTGTTGACATTGTTGGTTAGTATTTGATATCCAAAAGTCATATGAATTTCAAGCACCGAATTGTTGTTTTATGCTGCTGACTCATTTAATTTATTTTTTAATTCAATTTTGATCAGAAGCTTAAGTTTGAAAATATATAGCATTTGTCTTTTGAAAAAAAAAACTTATAATAAGATTTGCAGGAATAAGCAATTTGTTGTGGTTAAGTATCCTCCTGTTCCTAGCTTGTGGAATTGGACATTCACATTGAAAGATATTAATGGTGATGTGCTTGCTCAAAGGGATTGTGATTGGAGGGTTTTGGCTTTGATATTTGTCTTTGTCATTTGCCTTCCTTTTTGTTAATTTTTTATCTTTTGCTAAACATGTTAATCATTGATTGCTATTTTCCTATTTTATCATTTCCTAGCTTGTTATTTTTAAACTTTCTAGTAATTTTTTTTTTAAAATATCCATATCTCCACACTAATAATAGTATATAGAAGTATATTTAAAATAAGTCATGCAAAAGTTGGGTGAAAGATAAATATTAATAAAGAATCATATATATATGTGTGTTCCTTATTTTGTAGCTTGTACATATTCATCATTCCAAGAACCTCCCTCTCTACTTATTTCCTTCTTCCTCTTCTTTCACCACAATGAGATGGGTTGTGTTGGAGGAAAGAGAGACACATTTGAGTTTGGTTGTGGTCGTCTCCTTTTAAGGGTGTATATGAGGCTCTAGAGGTTGCCATGGCTAGGAAAATGGTAAAGAAAATTTAGAGTGAAATTTCTTGAAAAAATATGAGCTGACTATGGAAAGTTAATTATATAGTGTGTCAAATGAAGAGTACATAAGAGAATGAGACTTATGACTTAGGATGAGATGAAATTTCTTTCATGTTAAAACTCTGGCTAAAGATATTGTTACAACAATGTTATAATCACTGTCAAATTATAATATTAATTTAAATAATGTATTTAGCTTGTCGGATATATATATTACTAGAGTTGTTGTCAAAATTGTTGACAAAGATGGGATTCTCGACATGCTCTAAAATCTAACCACTAAAAACTATTTGAATAGGCAAGTTTTCCCTCAATCAAATTCACAACTTTGTGATCTTTTAATATCAACCGTTAAATAAATAGTGTGATCCACAAGTGTGCTGGAGATTGGCTGAAGAGTGTATGCAGGAAAGGAGAGGATCCAAAACAAATTTTATTTTATATTATATCAGTAATATAAATTATATATTTAATAATATATCAGTTGAATTCAACTAATAATATACTAATTTAATCAATAATTCAATATATTATATCACTTAAATCAACATCCCGCAATATCACGGGGATATGAACCCGGGTATAGATTGGATACAGAATTGCATATGCACGTCTTATAATTGGTGTACACGTGGTTTATGTTTTAAAAGGAAAAAAAAAAAAGTCTATGGCTGCGTATAACTTGGTGCATGCACCTTGCATTTCTTCATTTTCTCAAGTTTTCTTGAATCAATTCCAACCATTATCTCTCTCTCAAGTCCTACTTGACCATGTCTTCCACTCCCACCAACCTCATTGATTTCTTGTTGAACCAAGCTAATGGAGTGAAGGGTTTAGCTGAATTGAACCTCCCAAGTGTTCCTCACCAATACATCCAACCTCCCCAAGCCAGATTAGACCACACCAAAGTTCCTCCTCAGGAGTCAATAGACTCAATACCCATCATTGATTTCACAAACTTGGATGATCCACATGTCCAAGATTCCATTTTTGATGCTGCAACCACATGGGGTTTCTTCCAAATTGTAAACCATGGGATACCCTCTAAGGTTTTGGATGATCTCAAGGCTTCTGTCCACAGATTCTTTGAATTGCCAGCTGAGGAAAAGAAGTATCTCAAGGAGAATTCACCCCCTGATGTTGTCAGGTTGGCCACTAGTTTTAGCCCCCATGCTGAATCGGTCTTGGAGTGGAAGGATTTTCTTCAACTTGTGTATGCCTCAGAGGAAAAAATTCAGGCTCATTGGCCTGCTATATGCAAGTAAGTGACGCTTCTTTTCATCTATGATTTGTTTTGTGCATCACTTTATTTTATACATTTTATGGGAAGTTAGATTTACTACGGGGATTTGGTCTTTAACCAAGCCCAATGTCTTGTGTGATTCCTGTAGCTGAACTCATCTAGTGCCATAACGCTGTTGTATTCAAAAACTGTAATTGTAAAGAATTATAACATATATAATCCGAAATCATACTTGGGAAACGAATGCTATTTCTAGGAATACATGATAAAATGGGGACATTATTTTTTCGGTTTTTGATCAATGTGTTAAACGTGACATTTTTCGGTTTTTGTTTTGTGTCAAACATGACATCTATCAGACATGGGAAAAAGAACAGTAAAACTATGTCAAGGAGACCGTTGTCCTCTTACGATAATTTTGAGATAGAATGATTAAAAAATCTGTTTTTATGTTACAGGTATCAGTAACATATATATGCAAACAGGTAACTGACTCGCTAACTCAAAAAAAAAAGAAAAAAAAAAGCTATTTATAAAAAAATAACTGAACCAAAAAAGCTACACAGTAACACCCCTCAAGCTGGAATGTGGGGATCAAACATTTCAAGCTTGTCATGGAGATTACTAAAAGGCCCAACATGGAGAGGTTTGGTCAGGATGTCTGCAACTTGATCAGGAAATGGGAAGTGAATGAAGCACTCCATCTTGGATCTTATCACCAACAACATGACAATGTATTTTACTCACTCATGGAACACGGGATTAGTAGCAATATGAATGTTTGTTGGGTTATAACAACACAATATAACAAGGCCTGTATGGTCAATGAGAAAATCTCTCAACAAGAATATCAACCATTGAGCTTCAGCACATGCCTGAGCTAAAGCCCGGTATTTAGCCTTTGAGGAAGACCTCGAGACAATAGATAGTTTCTTTCTTTTTCCAGGAAACTAAGGAATTTCCCAGAAAGAAACAAAAGCCAGTGATGGAATATCGAGTGTCTGGGCATGCTCCCCAATCCGAATCAGAAAAGCCTTTAATTGATAAAGACGAACCGGCAGGGGAAAAAAATGACCTTTACCAGGAGTTTCCTTGATGAACCTTACCATGTGTTTGGTTGCTTGAAAGTGAAGATCCGTGGGCCAATCTAGATATTGACTATGACGACTAACAACATAAGAGATATGTGTTTGAGTAAGGTATAGTAGACAATCAACTGTCTATAAGATGAGGCATCAGAAAGAGGACTTCCAAATTGTTTGTGAAGCTGCAAGTGTGGATCCATAGGGGTGGAACATGGTTTGGACCCTAATAAACCAGTATCATGGAGTAAATCTTAAGCATATTTGCGTTGATAAAGGAAAATCCCTTCCTTATTGCGAGCAATTTCAAAACCCAAAAAATATTTAGATTACAAAACCTTGATGTTGAACTTCTCATCAAGATAGGCCTGAAATTATCTAGTTCTTGCCATAATTTCTTCATTTTAGTGAAATAGGTATTGATAGTGGAATCACATAATTTCTTCATTTTAGTGAAATAGGTATTGATAGTGGAATCACATAATTTCTTCATTTTAGTGAAATAGATATTGATAGTGGAATCACCTTGCCGAAGTGAGTAGACTTCTTCCCGTAAATCACATATTCGAAATACATCACCTTGATAAAAACGATGTTTTATCATTCCAAATTTCCAAAACAGTGTCCAAGAACATCACACTGCAATTTCTGGATCTAGCAAATGATACAGCCAAGAAATCACCAAAGTGTTGCACCTATCCCGTACTTTATAATTTTGATCACCCTGTTTTGGTTGAGGTAATGTTCCGTCAACAAAGCATAACTTGTTTTTTGTCTTTAGAGCCATCATCATTGGTCGTGACCATGAGTGATAGTTTCCACCTATCAAAGGAGGAGTAACTAGCATGACACCACGATTCTCGTTCGGATGTGTATAATTGGAATTTTCATTCACATTCACGTTAGTTTCTGCCATACTTGTCAATAACAAAACCAATGAAGAACTTAAGGTTTCAAAAGAAGACGAATTGTTGAAGAACGAAATCAACAAAGAACTCCAAATCAACAAGAAACAAACCAAATCTTGGTTAAAGAAACTTCAAATAGCAATCGAAGAACTGGACACCAAAGATGCATTGATTTAATCCAAGCAAGAAAAACTCCCAGTCAGAGCATAAAATTAGTCACAAACAGATCGCAATCAAAGTAAAGAAATGATCTTGATCAGAGTGTGGTAGTGAAGGTGTTCTTTGCTACCATCTTAAACATGACATCTATCATAGATGAGAAAAAGAACAGAAAAACTAAGTCAAGGATACCATTGTCCTCGTACTGATAAATGGGTACTTTTTTCCGTTAGTATTGGGCTTGTACACAAGTTTGATAAATAAAAACTATATCTTTCAACAACAATAAAAAATTGGTTTTTCATTAATACTATTTGCTTCAAAACTCAATCATTACCCATGAATGACATGACACAACTCATCATTGACTAGAGATTCGGTTTTTATACATACAAATCTCTTCTCCTCTCATGAAAGGGTCATTAAGAGTTATAAAGAGGGTGGAACAAAATATTATGTTGATGAACCTAAGAAACAATTATTTTCATTAATCATGCACAATGAAATGACGAGATTGAAATAATTAAAGTGTGATATTATAGTCATGCTTAGGTGTTATAATTTTGATTGTTGAACATTTACATGTTTTTATTATCATATTGAAGAGTTTAATCTCTTTTATATTACAAAATATGTTTATCTACATATTTATACAATTTACTCATTTATATATATATATATATTAGTGTACCCATATCCTAGATTTTAAAAAAATTGTGTATCCTATATTCGTATTCCTACCTGGTATCGTGCCTGTATTCGTGCAACATAGGTAAAAGAAAAACTTATATGCCTTATGCAATATAGATGAGATTACTTGTTTGGTTTGCTCATGACTCATGGAGTTCTCCTGAGTGTTTAAACCCGGGTTCCCAAAAAATAAAAGAATGGGAAGAAAAGATAATTGGATTTAGTCTTGAATCATGATGGGTAGTCTCAAGCCTATTGTGAGATTTTAAGTGTGTGGTTATTACTTGGAGGGTGCATCGCGTACATAAATATCATGAACTCAGAGTTCATGTGCACAAGGGAGAGAATGATTCACCTTTTTTTCGATAGTCCTTTATCATGTGAACTAACAGAGTCCAATTCAGATTCAACCCAAAATAACCAACTTGCTGTTACCACTAAAATTCAAGAGAAGGGCAATCCTGCTCCACTACCATTCAATTTTGTAAAAGCTGAGTTGTAACCTTCTAGAATAAATGAGTTGTATAGTATATTTTGTTTTTTTAGCTAGATATTTTGATTTTATCCTCTATAGGTCATCACCTAAGGCCCCTGGTCTGTGTATATAAATTCACTGTATCTTGATTCATGAATAGTAAGTGAGAAATATTCAATCATTTGTTATCTCTTTCTGTCATCTTTTATCTGTCTTTTTATGGTATCAGAACTCCACCTAGAGCTCTATTGATACCTTTTTTTAACATTTCAAGCTCTTCATCAACGGGGACAAATCCCCTTCACCAAAAACCGAGAATAATACAAATCCTAATCAAGATCCCTCTAGTCCTACCATATTCACCCTAGTGAGAGTCCTACCTTTCTTCTCATCACCCCGCCTCTTACAGGCAATAATTATCACTCTTGGTCTAGATCTATCAAAATGGCCCTTATATCCAAGAACAGAATGGCATTTCTCAACGGTTCTATCCCAACTTCCTCTACCTCTAATCCTCTTTTCTTCTCATAGGAACAATGCAACACCCTTATTATGTCTTGGCTACTAAACTCCCTGTCTCCCTCAATAGCTCAAAGTGTCATTTATTTTGATCATGTCATAGATGTTTGGACTGATTTGAAGGAACGTTTCTCCCAAAGTGACCTTTTAAAGATTGCAAAACTCCAAGAAGAAATCTACAACCTCAAACAAGGCACTCAATCTGTCACCGATTATTTCACTGCTCTCAAATCCATTTGGGAGAAAGTCAACAATTACAAACCCATGGTTCCCTGCACCTATTCTTCCAAAACATACCACCAATAAGACTTAATCATCTGTTTTCTCATGAGCAAATTTTAGTTGTTCATTCTCAAATACTGCTCATGGACCCTTTACCCTCAGTAAATTGAATCTTCTCCATGGTCATCCAAGAAGCACGATAACAACCTGAAACTCCTCTCATATTGGATGAGCCAAACGTTTTTTCTAATGCTGCTGAAAATCATCTCTCTTACTCAAGCAAGCCTCAAAATACTGCCTCTCAACAAAAGAATGTTCCTACTAGGGACGCACTGGTCACACTGTGGAGGTGTGTTGCATTAAACACGACTATCCCTCAGGTCATCCACATTTCCCTGGAAGACCACGTTTTCATGATCACATCCATGGCTCCAATGTCGTCATCAATCATATTGCTATTGAAAGAAGTAGCTCTAACAACAAAGGAAAGGGTTCCACCGGAGCGGGGCCAAGTTTTAATCTCTCTCCAGCGCAATATCAGCAGCTCATGGTTTTACTCCAACAAACCACTTGTTCTTCCGGCTTGGGCTCAGATGACAATCAACCTACTCATGCTAACATTTCCCATACTTCTCACATCGGCCCAATGTCCCTTCCTAGGCTTAATTCTTTTTCCAACTCTGGTATTCCCTTTGTTTTATGCACAATCACTCATCCTCACCCATGTGCACGTTCCTCTAATTATTCACCTTGGATAATAGACTCTGATGCTACTGCTCACATTGTTTCCAATTTGGAATGCTTCCAAGCTTATTCCAGAACTGAACCTATGTCTATTAACTTACCAAATGTTAATATTGTGATTGCGCACTATTCTGGAACTATTTAGTTTTCACCTCATTTTATCATCCATAATGTGCTCTATGTCCCTCATTTTTATTTAGATCTTATTTCTAAATTAAT